GTCTGTCCCCATCGAGGCAAGGACCTGGATCAGCTTGCACACGCCATCGCGATTGCTGCAAAATCTCAGGATCCACGTGCGTGAGACTTATTAGGAACACGCGTGCATGTCTGTGAGATGTGTACAAACTTCACACGTTACCGTGGTGGGATCTCAATGAACCTAGCGCATAAGCATGGAAAATCCTTATTCTAACGCAAAACGGTGTTAGATTAAGGGCTTTCCTTAGTGACAGTCCCCTAGCTGGGGGACTGTCACTAAGGAAAACCCTTATTCTAACACCCTGGCTGCGTCATGCTCCCTGGGCCGCTGTCACTGAGGCGCGCGCGCTCGCAACCCCTGGCCAGCCACAGCCTCACAGCAGGGTGTCTGTCACTAGCCCTGCCGCTGCTCAAGAGCGAAGGAGAGGAGAGCTCTTATGTAAGCATTTTCCGCTGCTTTGTCTTTGACCAGGGTAGGGGTTAGTGACATTCACCCTGCAAGTTGGATGTCAGTGAGGGGGAGTGCACACCACCCCCGCCTTAGTAACAAGGTCGCTTCTTTGACAATGACATATGGAGAAGGCTTACAGAAGCAGCCCTGCACTTGATCAACGACGAAAAGGCGCTCCTTTTTTACGTTGCCCACCCCAATCACCACTTAGGCATGCAATGCAGGCAGCCCGCGCATGCAGCTCAGGGAATTGTGAATGATTAATGCTGTAAAGTTTGCGCTGCTTCCCCTGTTCCCCTGGCTGCAGTTCAAGAGCTCCACTTCTAGAGCCCAGGGCAAGAGTTTGCTAGGTCAAGGCGCCATATGAATTCTCGAAACTGCTGAAGGAAGAAGCAATGCGGAACCTCCGTGAAAATCCCAGCATCCGACTCCACGATGAGCGCCAGCACTTGCGCGGGGGAGCCGCGGTTAGTGGCACGCTGCTTGGCCACGGCGAAGTCCTCGATGGACTCCAGAATGCGCAAGGTCCGGCACGCCAACGCCTCCAGCAGAGAGGCCACATCTCCGTGGGTTTCTCGGAAGGCATCTGTCATGAAGATGGAGCGCTGTGTGCGCACGCCCGCGTGCAGCTTCAAGCATGTGCCTTGGTTTAGAATGGCCATCTGGGGCGTCACTACCCATGCTCCATTCAAGGCCGCCGCGATGGCATACTCATCTGGCACATCAGTAACATCCTGCAGAATCAGAACCTTGGCCTCAGCGAGAGAGTAAGTCACACCCCACGCACGCCTCTCCAAAGCCTCGTCAAGCTGCTCTGTCCGCAGATCATCAGTCACCCAGGTCGGCAGCCCTTCCAAGTCGGCTGGATCAGGGCACTTCCGCTGAACAGCCGCTTTCATTCGCTGCTCTGCTCGTTCACGGGCCACCATTGTCTTCTGCGCTTTGCTGAAATGCTCCACAGCGGCTTCCAGCATTTCCACCGGCACTTCGGCTGCTGACACCGTCCCACTGCGCAGAGCCTCGAAGAGTCTCTTCTGACGCTTCTCGGCGTTGAAGTTTCTCTCGTTCATGTGTGCTTCCGAGACGTCCCAC